GGCTGGCTGAGAGTCATGGTGAATCGCAGGAAGCCGGGGGTGCAGGGCCCTGAGTTCCCCAACACTCCGTGACATCCGGTCACCGGGGTCCTCTCCCCGCAGCCCATTGTCCCCCCACTGGCCAGAACCGGCTGTGACTCCGGGTCACCAGTCGCTGGGGTCTCCGTTCTCCAGGCCGTCGGCCGGGGTCCCAAGTTCCCTCGCTGGTCCTGTGTCCCAACGAACTCCCTCTCCCCTTCCCTCATTAAACCAGGGACGCTGAGTCCCACCCCCTCGGCGTGCAAACCACTGGAAAAACAAGACACTCCCCCACTTTGTCACGGATGGGCTGGGGCGAGCTTGGGCAAGGCTGCCTTTAGCAGGGCCTGGGGGGGTCTTTGCTTTGGGCTCCCACGTGACCTGCCAGGAGCTTCACAGAGTCCCTGCCCACAATGGTGGGATCCCCCCTGTAGTGACCACCCCCGGGCCCCCATTGTGTGGGGTGCTGCACTCACCCCTGCCTGAGCTGGGGGTCCCTGTGTGAGTTGGGCACGGCAGAGTCCCTGCCTGCAGCAGCTCCTGGCCTGGAGTAGACAAAGGGGGAAACTGAGGCCCAAGCAAGGCCGCCCTTGCCCCTCGCTCACAGAGCAGGTGTGTGGCAGGGCGGGGGATAGAACCCAGGCGTCCTGGCTCCCAGCCTTTGCGCTCCACCCTCTGCCTGTGCCCCTGACTTACCGCAGAGGAAATGACAATCTGAGCCGCCTGGGGCTGGCTCAGTCTAGACGGGCCCTTGGCAGGGGCAGCAGTGACTCAAGCCTGGCTGGGAATATGAATAAGGGGGGGGGGGGACAGGCTGGCTGCTGTGCAGATCCCAACTGGGGGGGCTATGGGGCGGGTGCTGCACAGCTCCCCCTGAACTGGCCCTCTGCAGCCTCTGCATCGGAATCATAAGGGTGAGCAGGGAAACCGAGGCACGGGAGGGTGACTTCCCCCAAGGATACACAGCAGCTCTGACCCAGAACCCAGGAGGCCTGGCTCCCCGCCCCCGTTCCTCTCCCAGAGCCAGAACCCAGGAGTCCTGTGCACACCCCTCCCCCCACTCTAACCACCAACCCCGGGGCAGAGGGACTGAATGTCTGCACTTCCTGTCTTACATAAACCTGCTCACCAGCTGGCCTGCCCCAGCCTCGTGCGAGGGGCCCCTACAACCAGCCCCAGCCAGGGGGGCCATGTCCTCGTGCCAGGCGAGGGGCCCCTACAACCAGCCCCAGCCAGGGGGGCCATGTCCTGGTGCC